GACCTACTACAAACAAGGAAAGTAATAAACACCATAAAGACTGAATATCAACAATAAAGACTAAATATTGACAACTAATATTGACAACTAATATTTACACAAATATTGATAAATCCAACAGATTTCATGATTTTTCATCTTATTGCTATTTATTTATTCACTAATAAGTGAATGACAAGCTAAAGGACAACCTTTGCACAGCATTATTTTTTGCTAATTTTAACCATGGTGCACAATGGAAACTAAGGGAGGAAATTTTGAAGTAGAGTAGAATATTTTGATTTTTAAAAAAAGGTTCATCAAACACTTTGAATACAACTTCTCTTGTTTAAATCATTGAGTTGGTGCCCAATGGCAACAAAGCAAGCCCTTGACAGGCTTGGATTCCAAGAAGGCAACCTACAATGATTACTAAAGAGAAAAATCTGAATCTTTATTAATATTATCTTAATCATATGAGCTTCTTATAATACAATTACAAATGTATGTAATCTAACTACAACTACTTAAGAGCAAATCTAATCTTCAAAGAGGAACATGATAATATTATTAAACCTAGTGGTAAAAAACTATACAGGAGAGATAAAAAGGCATATCTGTACACAATTAGATTAAAAAATTAACTGGTTATGTGGGAGAGGTAGAACTATCAGTTCAAGATGGCATTAAATAATGTCTTTTTCCTATTAAAATATAAAAAAAAATTGAAGCTGCATTTACCATGAAGTTATCTGGCCTTCTTCATATTGTTGGTTTATTATTAGTAATTCTAGTCTTTTGTTGATTATTATCTTTGAATTGATCGTATTAGAAATTATCAAGCATGGTTGAGGATTGGATTTCTCAAGCAAATGCAAGACAGCGGAGAGGAAGAGCTGGACGTGTGAGACCTGGTACTTGCTTTTGTTTATACACACGTCACAGATACGAAAAGCTGATGCGCCCCTTTCAGGTACTTGTCTGTAGCAAAGTTTGCTTTTAAAATTTAGTCATTGCTGTTATGAAACTTATGCTCCTCTGTATGTCTTGTACTTTGACGGGCTCTTTCTTAATGATCTTAGGTCCCTGAGATGCTCCGGATGCCCTTGGTGGAGTTATGTTTACAGATTAAGCTACTTTCTCTGGGTTACATAAGGCCGTTTTTATCGAAGGTGATTATTCCGTACCTCTTACTCCTTCGACGATATTGTCTTTTTTTTCTTTTCCTTTTTTAATATCTGTGTGTCCGGGCCAGCTTACGTGCACCTCGACTATTCACGGGCCAACCGTCTGACCCTACTACATTTGGTTGACAAGGAAACTCGGAGGATATAAAATCCTAGGTTGTAGGATATTGTCTATTTTATAGTGCTCAAATATTTTCTCTTTCAGGCTTTGGAGCCTCCTCGAGAAGAGGCGATGGCATCAGCAATATCATTATTATATGAGGTACAATTATCTTTATGGCCATTAATTATCTCTCCTTGTAATGAACTTTTTTTAGGGTTTTTTTTTCTTTTCTTTTTGGTGCATCTCCTATAGGTTTTGGATTCAAACCAACATTGACAACCGACCTGTCGGTTTTGAAAGTTTCTGCAACATCGACCAACCAACTATACGATCAGTTGGTCGGTTTTAGTTGAAACCAACACGAGATGAAGATGCAAGTGAGACAGAGAGAAAGAACCTTGAGAGATGGAGAGAAAAAGAAAAATAACAACAAAAAAAACTTCTTGAGATTAAAAGAAAGTGAAGCTTCCTTGAACTTCATCTTCTTTTCGGAAAGAACTAATATTGAACAACAAAAATAAAGAAGATGAAGAGACAGAGACAGAGAGATGAAAATGAAGATGAAGAGGAAGAGACGAGGGAAAGAGAGATGAAGAGGAAGAGGAATGGGAGAAAGAACTCTAGGAAGAAAGAAAGGGAAATGGAGACAAAGAGAAAAAGTACAAAAAAAAAAAAGAAGGGAAAAGAAAGGTCACAGAAAATAGAGAGAAGAAATAAAAATTAAAAAAATAATAGTTATACTACCTTGAGAAAACCAGCGTGGCTGTATTCTCGAACTTTGCAAACTGCATTGAGTCTGCTGTATTCTTTTTTTTTTTTAATAATGTACTTAAAGTCAGTCAGTTTGATCGGAAAAAGTTTCCTACCAAAACCGGCCAAACAATTTTCAGTTTTTAATGTTATAAACCGACACCGATCGGACCGTTTATGTCGTATCGGTTTTTAGATTATTTTGCTCACCCCTAATCTCCTATATAACCAAGTGCATATCTTTTTTCTGATGTTTACGTAATTTCTATTGCACGATGTATTCAATTCACATTTCATAATAAGAAGCGGGATTCCAGTTCATTGATGATGAGATGAAATGTACACGAATAGGGAGAGGAACCTCCTGGTCTTGGAGTTACATAAGTATTCTCCAATTGGAAACAATATTGAAAGGGAATAAGTGCAAAAATGTTTGAAATTATTGATGTAAGGGAAACCTTAAAAAAAAACTGTAAATTTTCAAAGTGCATCTACATTCCTTGTGATATTTAAAACAACACTTCTATTTCCTTCTAACCAATATTCTCAAATAATAGCATTGCCTTGAATTAAGCCACAGAATCCAGCCCATATTATGAGCCTAAAATAAACTGCCAAACGCTATGCATGAGAATGATTTTTCTGGGGAATGCCACATCAGAGATATTTGGTGTACCTTTTTTCTGAACTTGTTTTGAATCACTTTGTTCATGCATTACCATGCACAAATATGATTTTCCCCCTTATTGAGCATTACATAATATATATGTGGAGAAGAATGATATCTTGTGCTCCCAATCGTCTAATTTTTAGGTTGGGGCTCTTGAAGGCAATGAAGAATTGACTCCTCTTGGACAACATTTGGCAAAATTACCTGTTGATGTATTGATTGGGAAGGTATGCATTCAATAATTTATCTTGTCCTAGAATATATGAATAATATTGAGAAAAGAAGAAAGAACACTTCTTGGATATTAAATTTACCGTAACTCATCTGCTTAAGCTTTAGGGCTTGGCGAAATTTCCTGTTGATGTATTACTCTATAATGCTTGTATGTATGGTCTTACGTCTGAAGTTATTTTTTCAAAATGTTATCACTTTCTTTGTGTAATATTGATGTTCTACGCTCATGACTCATAATTTTAGGTTCTCTCTTATTTAATAATGGGAATTTAGAGAGAGCCTTGACATCAATGAACTGCTGGAAGTGTATCAGCTGGAATAAGTTTAGGAGGTTGTACATCCAACTTGTACGAAGTAACTTGTAAAAGCACACTGTTAATTTTCCTTCCTGTTTTGTTTTCTCTTTCTCTATTATACCCGTCTCTGTGTATGCTGATGCATGTCCTTGTTGAAGCGTATATCGTTCACAGCATGAAAGTTGGGCTTGGCTCACTGTTATCTATTCTTTATGACTGCAGATGATGCTATATGGTGGAATTTTTGGTTGCCTGTCTTCAATTCTCTCAATTTCAGCATTTCTGAGCTACAAGTCTCCATTTATTTATCCAAAAGATGAGGTCCTATTGTCTATAGTTACTGGATTCCTTAATGTTCTCCTAACTTGTCTGTTCAACTATCAACATTAACAAAAAAAATCCGCTAAATAAATACTAGTGTTTCAATATTTTCCAGAGGCAGAATGTTGAACGAGCTAAATTGGCTCTTTTGTCTGATGAGGTAAATGGTTCGGGTGATTCATGTGGCAATGACAAGCAATCAGACCACCTGATTATGGTGACTGCATACAAAAAATGGGAAAAAATTTTGCATCAGGTTAGTTATCTCGTAGTCTACCTCTTAGTTTGAACTCTCATGCCAACTCTCCTCATTGGACCTCTACTTCATAGTACATTGAGGAAGCTAAAGTTTAGAATAAAAATTCATTTTCTTTTGTGCTTGGTGAGTGGTTGGTGACTCGAATGAGTCAATTACTACAGGAAATTGTTGATAATTCTTTTGTGTTGTTCATTCTGAATGATACAACCCTAATTTATAAGCTAGGGGGTAAATCTTAGCAGGTTTCCAGGCTGTTTCCTAATTTTTGAGGCTATGAGTCAAATACAGATTTCCTGCGGTTCTTGAATTGGTATTTCCACATAGATTGATGTTATCTCATGATATTTTGATTCTTGCAGAAAGGATCCAAGGCTGCTGTGCAGTTCTGCAAATCATACTTCTTAAGCAGTTCGGTGATGTACATGATAAGGTACAATCTCTCACGTATGATATTTGACAATAACTTGAATCAGGTTGGTTGAACTGCAAACGTGCTAATGGTTTTCATCTTCATCTTCATCTTCTAAGGAATTATATAATATGCATCTTATCATTAGAGATTTTCTTTTATGATGGAATATTTGTCGATATTGAGAGGTGTGCATATAGGTTATGTTCAACCTTTATTCAGTTCATCAAGGGTCCGGTGCTTCATTGTCAAACTTCTCCCAAGTGCCTTTCCTTTTCAAGTATTACAATTTTTACTGGTCACGAACAGGAGATAAATAGATGGGAGAAGTTAATAGTTTTGGTTTTATAACAAACTGAATATGATTCAAAGGAAAAATATGCAGACGTTTATGGAGTTACAAAAAGGATCTCCAATTGGTCACAAAGTTCTGAGAGTAATTTCAATTGTATTTAGATCTGAGAGATGTTATCTCATAGCCAGTCGATTTCTACAAAAGCATTGTACTAATCCAAAGCACCTCCTTATGAGAGCTTAAATGCTGCCCATTAGCCTCACCACTTGTCTCCAAAATTGTGGCTCGAGTGCTTTCTTCAAGACTTAAAACGGTCCTTCCATCCACCATCTCGGAACAACAATCAGCTTTTGTGGAAGGACGACAAATCCTTGATGCTTCCCTCATTGCCAATGAAATTGTAGAAGAATGGAAACGGAAGAAACAAAGTGATTATCAAACTTGATATAGAGAAGGCTTTTGACAAAGTGGATTGGGACTTCCTCGACGATATCCTTTGTGCAAAAGGTTTTGGATCTACATGGAGAAAATGGATTAAAGGATGCATATCAAATACCAATTTCTCTATCATCATCAATGAGAGACCAAGAGGTAAAATCCAAGCAACTCGAGGCCTTAGGCAAGGTGACCCTCTCTCACCTTTTCTCTTCATTTTAGTGGTTGATTGTCTTAGTCGCCTCCTCACTCAAGCTGCTGATTCGGGATCAATAAAGGGCTTCTCTTTGGGAACCGAACTTCTTCACATCTACCACCTCCAATTTGCCGATGACACTCTTCTCTTCTCCATTGATGAGGATGAAGCCATCAATAATATTTTTCAGATTATTAAGACCTTCGAGGACGCATCGGGTTTAAACATAAACCTTACCAAATTGGAGATCCTCGGCCTTAATATCGAAGAGGATCGGCTCAATACTATTGCTGCTTCATATGGTTGTAAGGTTGGATCTTGGCCAAACTCATACTTGGGTCTCCCTCTTAATGCATCTCCTAACACCGTTGCTTTTTGGGCCCCTGTTACTGAGAAAATTGAAAGGCGACTACATTTATGGCATCACTCCATCACTAAAGGGGGTCGACACACGCTGATTCAAGCTACTCTTTCTAACCTTCCTACTTACTATCTCTCTCTTTTTGCCATGCCTAACAGGGTTGCTAAAGACATTGAGAAGCTTCACAGAAACTTTCTTTGGAGGGGGGTAATGATTCATCATCGATGCACCTCGTCAAATGGGAGAAAGTCTTGAGTCCTATTGAACAAGGAGGTCTCGGTCTACACTGCTTGAAAGACAAGAATCGTGCTCTCCTTGCTAAATGGATTTGGCGCTTTAGATTCGAAAAACATGCCCTTTGGAGAAGAGTCATTGTGGCAAAATATACAGCTGAAGCTTTCAACACCAAACCTGGATCAAAATCTATTTTTCTGGCCCATGGTCCTTGGAGGAATATCTACAAGCAGAGGTATCTCATTTTTGACAGAATATCCTCCAAGGTGAGAAATGGAGCATCTACTTCTTTCTGGCTTGATCCTTGGCTGTTTGATCCCCCATTGGCCTCAACCTTCCCCCGCCTCTTCTCCCTATCTCTTCGGAAATCAGCTTCTGTCAAAGAAATTTGGAAACCCATCTTCAATTTCTGGGACATAGGCTACAGACGTTTTTTAAAGGAGGAGGAAATTACAGATTGGGCAACTCTATACCATCATTTGGTTTCCACCTCTCTCCATGAAGGTGATGACTCATGGGTTTGGCCATTAGACAGGAATGGATCCTTTTCTATCAAGACTCTTCTCACTGACATGGCTCCAAAGAGATCCCTCTTGCACTCAACTCTTGCCAAAGCCATTTGGCAAGAAAACTACCCCAAAAAAACCAAGTTTTTCATATGGGAGCTCACTCACAGGGGCATCAACACCTCAGATAAGCTACAACGAAAATTACCCTTCATGGTTCTCTCACCACATTGGTGTATTCTATGCAAAAAAGAGGGGGAATCGCCCTCCCACCTTTTTCGCACATGCTCCCTAGCCATGGACTTTTGGAATTTGATTCTCCATGCATTTGACTGGTCTACCGCCCTCCCTTTTGACATACAAGATTTACTGTCTTTAGTTCTTGTGGGTCACCCTTTCAAGAAAGCTAAAGAGATTATGTGGAAGCACTTCATTCGAGCTTTTCTTTGGATTTTTTGAAAGGAACCATCTACTATTCCTGGACAAAAATCTGCCTTTCATCACCCTTTTCGATAACATTACTTTTCATGCTATGTCTTGGTGTAGATCAACACACTATTTTCATTCTTATAGTTTAAGCTCTTTATTATCCAATTGGAGAAGTTTTCTGTAACTCCTTTGGTTTTTGGTGGGATTACCCCTCTCTTTGTAATTTCGTCCATCAATGAAATTGTTTCTTATCAAAAAAGGAAAAGCATGATGAGCAGCTTAATTGCACGGAACCCAGGCCAGATAGGCTTCCAGTGAATATTATAAATTTATAACATGGTAGATGTTTAAATGGAATATACTATTGCATAGCAGATATCATTTAGTACTTCTAAAAATAACATATATTTGCTTGCCAAACCTACTGCATCTCCATTTGAACGAGCAATAATGCACTAATCAGTATTTGGCTATTTGCAGTCAACATCTAGTTGTTTGATAATTTCTCTGTTCAATTTTTTTTTTTCTTTTTTTCTCATGTTTCCACATTATTTTCAGGGACATGAGGGTACAGTTTGGGACATTGTTAGCAGACATTGGGCTTGTTGATCTTCCTAAAAAGTCTAGTGTAAGTTATTTAGGTTACCTCCACAATTGCAGAAGTTTACCAAGAAATTGTGTGCAAGAACCTCTTAAATCAAACAAAACAAAACGTGAGAATGGACTTTCACAAAAACATGATCGTTGTCTCTCAACAAATTATGGAGAACCAGGAATTGGATTCACATAATGCGGGGCAAAATTGTTTCCTTAACCCAAATGTCCTGACTCGGCAATAGTAAACTGGTGAATGCATTGACCCGTACTACCGTGCACATTTCTTCTTTACCTTTCACAGAATATCATTGTGGCTGTTTTTCATTAACTTCTTCCAATTTGTCATGTAAAAATGCAAATTTGACACCAAGCTGATATACATCCAACTTCAATTTGAGCTCCTAAAGCAAGAACAATTCTTATAATCTTAATGAGTGCAATTGGTGTAAAAGTCTCATTAGAGTCTACTTCAAACTGTTGGGGGTAGCCTTTTGGGACCAATCATACTTTGGTTTTGAATGTAGCCATCTTCCTTGTATCAAGTTATGCACGTCCATGTTAAGCCAACTACTTTCCCTGGAGTCAAATCTTGAAGCTTCCATGTTTCTATTTATTCAATAGTAGCAATTCTTTATCCATTGCTTTAATCCATACTTCTTTTAACATCTTCAAAATTCTTATGTTCACAAACAGACAAAGCAATGTCACGTGAAGTACCATATTTGGTGAGGAACATATTTTCCTTTGGATAGCTCATGGTACAAAATTTTTTAGACTCTGTAGTTTGAAGAAAATAACAATTTAAGAGAATGTTTCTTCTATCAAGGGCTGAGCAGAAGCTGAAACAAAAAATGATATGCATGACCTACCAATACAATAATAGAGTTCTGGCACCTTCTGTGCATTCCTCGTCCGGCAAACTCCTTAAAAAAAATCCTCTTATAGAAACCTCTCCGACAATTTACCTGGAAGAGAACTGATGAAATCATCCTGAATCTGGATAGAATGATTCATCTTAAAGCCTAGCATAAGTATCATAGTGCTACAAGGAAATATCTTGACCCCCAGGGATACTTGTTGAATTCAAATAATATTTTACCATTAAATGACCTTTTTTGAACTGATACTATTAAATGAATTTGTCTAACATTTCTGTACTTCTTATTGCCTTAACACTTCAAAGCATTATAATCTTAAAGTTCAGAATAGTTACCCTCTTTTTGATTGCTAAAACACTACTGAGGTTTTTCATTGAACAGAACAGGAAAATGGAGGCTATTACTTATTGCTTCTTTTTTGTTGTGGTTAAATGCTAGAGTGGCATATTGTAAGCTGAAACAGTCATATATTTAATCATCGAGGATGAGTGTCAAAATTTCATACTTCAGCAGTTTCAAGTATTCTCTTCTGAGAATAAAATATTCTTCTTGTCTCAGTTTGATAGAAAAAGGAAGGAGGACCTTGATGGCTGGTTTTCAGATTCATCCCAACCATTCAATGTAAATTCAGATCATCCATCCATTGTAAAGGTAACTATTTTATGTCTTTCTGTTGAGATATCCGTAAATGAATTAAATTTACCCAACCCATCAGCTTAAGCTTTTGGGTTGAGTGGTGGTTTATTCATCCTTAAGATGGTGTCAGAGCGGGAGGTCCTGTGTTCAAATCCCTGCATTGTTGTTTCCTCCCCATTTATATTGATTTTCACTTGTTGGGTCTTGATGTTATTTTCCAAACCCACAAGTGAGGGGGAGTGTTGAGATATCTATAAATGAATTAAATTTATCCAACCCATCAGCTTAAGCTTTTGGGTTGAGTGGTGGTTTATTCATCCTAAGACTTTCGATAGGTTTTCTCTTTTGAAATGATTAAAAATTCCTTCCTTACTGGACTTTAAGGATGGTCATAGTTTATATCTGTACTTCTTGGTAAGCTTTGTATGTTCTGCATAAAAAATATTACTGATTTGTTTACTTTGATCATAGAAAGTATTAAAAGTAGTACAATTTTTTATATGGAATGGTGCCTTTTCTGGAAGTTTACATGCAAAACTTGATCTTGCTTTTTCAACTTTTTAAACTGTGCCCAGTATAAAATCAAATGTCATCTTGATGATCATTAAACAAAGTATTGCTTATGCAAAGGATAGTTTCTTCGCCACCATGTTATACTTAACGTACCTAAGGGTAAAGATACAGAATGGATTTCCCTTTCTGAACCATCTAGTTTTGTGTTAACTTCCTAGAAACTACTGTCCATTGTAATAATGTAGACTTCTTTTTTGTTGATTAATTAACACAGTATGTTTTAAATATATTATGTTCAACCTTGAGAATAAAGAACCTCTATAGATTAAAAAATATAGATAGTCTAAATACTCTTGCAGGCAGTATTATGTGCAGGACTATATCCCAACATAGCTGCTGGCGAAGAAGGAATCACTGAAGCAGCTCTTAGTAGCCTTGGACGATCCTCTGGTTCTGCAACTACAGCTCGTCCAGTCTTGTACGATGGAAGAAGAGAAGTACATATACACCCTTCTTCTGTCAACAGTAACCTAAAAGCATTTCAGTATCCCTTCCTTACGTTCCTTGAAAAGGTTTGTGACCCTTTTTCAATTTATTCCTCCTACAACCCAGTATTAATAATTTTTCTGTTTTCTTATATACAGAGATATAAATATGTATGGAATATAATTCTGTGTACACTATAGTTCAAAAACTTGACAAAGTCTAACATCTCTCTCACAAGCCATGTCCATCTCCGTATCTAACAATCAGAAAACGTGAAGAAGTACCAAAAAAAATCATGAAATACTGGGTTAATTTATTGGAAAATTGTGATTGGCTGGAGGGTTGAGGGGAGGAACCACTGAAAGTGGCATTGTGAGGACGGGAGGGGTGGTTGCATTATGAAAGGAGTATGCAATAATATCAAAGCTTGTTTTCTTAACTATGTTCCATGTTTAGAAATAATTGGTAGGTTAAGTGATAAAATTGTGCACCTTTAAAAGAAACATTGAACATTTCCATGATTAATTGAATAATAGTAATTTCTTCTCTGGCCATGACTGTTACCTGTATAAAAAAATTTGCAGGTAGAAACCAATAAAGTCTTTATCCGAGATGCTACTGTTGTTTCTCCCTACTCCATCTTATTATTTGGTGGGTCCATTAACATTCAGCATCAGGTATCGCTTCCTATTTACCTTTTTCTTTGTTCTTGCAGCAGTTAGATTCATTGTAAACTAATGTAGTGGGGAAAATGCAGAAGTACGTTGTTGACTAAGTTGTACGCAACTTAACCGTGACCTTTTTCTGCTTAGACATAGTAAATTTTACAGCATACTCTATTTGCCAATTTCCGAGTATTTAAGAAAAGATGTTTCCTGGTACTGCCACTGCAATGCCACATATTCCATGATCTCATGACTGAGGAATTGAAAAGACTACTTTTATTGGAACCAGAACTGAAATGGAAATTAACAGAAAATAGTATTATTATAAGAAGTTAATTACAATAATCTCAAGTCCTTCAAGAGGCACGGGCTCTCCCGCAAACTGTTTCCGGAAGGCCACAGTTTGAACCAAAGTTGTCTGATAATGAGCCTTTAAGATTGCTATTGAATGAGTTTAAAAATCTCGTTGGACCGACCGCTGGTTTACCTTTTTCAGTCGATATGTGACATCAAATTGACTTCATATTAGGTTCTACACTCTCCCTAAATTTGCCTCATTATCAGTCAAGTCCTACGGAATGCTCGACTCTTCATGATCAAGTCCAAGAGTTATCAACTTAATGTGACATTCAGTCAAGCGTTTGTCATATGGCTGTCCTAACCCTCATAATCCCAAAAAAGGAAGGGTCTTGTTGCATTTTCACTGATAACATGCAATTATGTCACAGTTATGTATTTATTTCCTGATCCTCCTGCCTAATCATGCAGAACCCAAGTATTTCCAAAACTTATCTCACTAGTGTCTACCATCATAGTAGAATCTGTTTAGGGATGAGGGAGAGATAAGTGTTGAAGAAACCGACATGTGAAGGTTCATCTGAATGATTGGCAATACCTTTTGTTTCCTCTAATGCATAAAATACTTATGCGATTAATAAATTAGGTCCTAAAGATTTCCTTTAATCCTTTGGTTGCGGTTGATTTGATAGCATAGTGTATAGTAGATTTGCAGGTGATTACTTATCTCATTTGTGGCAAGTGTTTGCTTTTTTACGAGATATTAACCTTTAGTATCATCCAAAAATTGTAATACCCCTTGACTCGTGTTCTTCTGGTTTCATACTTTGTTGCATCAGAGTGGCATCGTCATTATAGATGGATGGCTGAAATTGACTGCACCGGCCCAAATTGCTGTACTCTTTAAAGAACTGAGATTGACCCTCCATTCTATTCTGAAGGATCTGATTAGAAGACCAGAGGTACCTTCAATCTTATCTGTGCGCTCTTATCTTCATATGAGTTGATTAAACTTCATGACTCTGGTTCTGCTTCTCAAGTCATACTCGTGTTTTATTCCATATTGAAGCTTTCTGGATTTCTCTTAGTATAACTCATTCAGAAAGCACAATAAAAATTGTCATGCAGAGAAATTTAGTCACTACCACGACCTTACTTGAACAGGTTCTATTCTATAGGTTGTACAATTGTTTCCTTGAGTTCTAAGAAATTTAGTCACTACCTTCACTTTTAAGTTTTAGACCATCTAAGATCTAAATAAAGTAAATTTTACAAACAGCGGTTCTTGTACATAATGGCACAAAATGGAAAGAGACGGTCAAGAAGTAGAAAAATTATTCAATATGATAATGTTTTACTTTGAATGCTACATGTTATATTTTGATTAGTCAATACTGAAGCTCTTAGCAGCCACCTTAGCAATTAACAAGTTTTCTTATTCTGTTTTTTGCTTTCTACATCTACTGCTACATGAAATCTATTTTCTTCTAGTAGAAATATTATCTTTATTTTTCTTTTTCTTTTTTGCCTTTGCAGACTTCTATTATTGTCAATAATGCAGTTCTGAAGTCGATAGTTCGTTTGTTGTTAGAAGAAGACAAACCCCTAACATAGCGTAGCAACATTCAAGTAATTCTACCTATAATAGCTGAATCAAGATGAGTGGTACCATGCTAGTGAAATATAATGGATTGCTTCATAAGGCAGATGAGGAACCAGTTAATTTTATAGGGTTGATCATCACTTCCACTTTCTATATATGAAGTTGTTGATGTTGAAACTAAATTTAGAAGAGGGAATTTTTCTTATCATCAATTATCATGTATTTGTATTATGTATTATTACATGTTTCTATTCATTGGGTTGCCAATGAAATTTTTTTCTATGAGATAATATTAGTTTTTTATCATGTCTGATTCTTTTTAGTACAATTAGTGGCGGGAAACTTCAACCTTCAACTTTTAGCGAGGTAATTCTTTGACCAATTGAACTATCGTGATGTTTGTGATTTTGAAAATGGTAAGATATTACTTGAGTTTTATTCCGGACCTAATAATGTAGATTTCATGAAAGGTTTCGAACCAATTTAAGAACAAAAACTACAAGCCCTAAGACATTGAAAATGAGCACAAGCATAGTTCAAAAAGCTCGCATTGATACCTTTTGAACTAGCAAAATTGCATTTAGTCTTGATGAATATTTAAAGTAAATTCAAATAGGTCATTCAGTCATAAATACTCGACAAGTTGATATAAACATTAGTAAATTAAATCTTTAGCCAAATTAGCTGACTTCTTTTAATTGGTGAAGTATCCCATCATATTTAACATACTAAGACAATTATAGATTTACTCTCTAATATTTATACCTCTTTTTAGTATTCTTGTGATTTTTATTTAAATCTTGAATATACTCTTTATGACATAGTGTAAGCAATAAGTAACACATGGGACCAAAATAAATATGGTCATCCTATTTCTGACCACCTCCATAATAAATTATGTCAAAAGGACATGTTAAGTAATTACAAATTTTAAAATGTTAATTGAAAGTCTTAAATGCAAGATGTACCTATAAAGATGAGCCATTTTACCTAACATTAGGCTTATTAAGGCACAAATTAATTAGCTTTCTCAACACACTAAATTTTCCCAACAATTCTTTATTCAAAAACCTTCCCCTCCTCTCTCTTTGCATGATGAATTTCCAACAAACTCAATAAATATATTTCTTGTTAGACTATTAACAAAAAAAAAGTTAATAATAATAATAAATAAATAAAAGTAAAAATTCTATTTTCGATTAGTAAAGTTTTGTTTTTGCAATCAAGAAAATATAAATGGGTTGGTGATTATTTCTTTTTTTTTAAATACATAAACATTCGGTAACTATTTTTTTTTCTCTAAAATTTTAAATTAAACAAAAAGTAAACTTTTTATTTGTAGATTAATTTTTCAAATTTTTGTGTTATATTTATTTTTTATATTTATCATGCATTTAAGTCTATAACGACAAAACAATGTTTTTATCTACGTCTTGTGAAAAAAATGGAAACGTGAACAAATAGAAAGGAAAAAAAAAAACTTAATTTTGTTGTTTCTAAAATTTTTACACAATTTTAGAAATATTTTTTGAAAATAAGAAATAGGGAATAGAAACATTTACTAAAGTTTGTGTATCTGACAAACTAGAAATTTTTACACAATTTTAGAAATATTATTTCTTTTGTATCGGCACCTCTTCACTATAATATTGCATATACCTTTTAGTTCAATCTCTACTTTCACAATTTAAAAAAATTATCAAGCAAGAGTAAAGACAAAAATATTTTATCTACCAAAACCCAATCAAGAAGAATCAAGTAGCGTAGAAAGGTATTTCCAATTCTATAAATTTTCTAAATTAGAACGATCCATCTCTATTCTTTAATAAGAGTAAGAAAAGGAGTAAGATAGAAAGAGATATATTAAATTAAACGCGACTTATAATTACAAAAAAAAGGACAATAAAATGATTATAACATAGCCTAGTAAAGAAATTCACATTTATCCCACATTAGCCCTTCTTTCTTCTTCTTATTATTAATTTGTTTACTAAAAAGAGAATTTGTGGTTAGCTATCTTAAAATCCCCTCAATGTTGAAACCATTGCTAAGAGATTATTAATGGCCAAATAGGAAAGGTTTGTTGGGATCTCAACAAAACTATTAAGCATTAACCACTTCAATAAAACTACCATATCTTTCTAAATAATTTACAAACACGATATTTTCTTAATAAGTTCGGAAACTATTTTTATAACAATAGACGATGATTCAAACCTAAGTTATCGATATCTTAGCTGGTTGGGTTGGGTGAAGTCAGACCAACATAACAAATTGTTAAAAGAGAAAAAAAAAAAAACTCCTCAAAACTTGCTCTATAATCAGGATATTAAATTTTCGTCCAACATTTATGTCAACATTTTCATATGTTTGGGTTTGACATTAAAGAAAAAATCAATACTTTTATAATATCACAAAAACCCAACAAAATATATTTAAAAAAATCAACTCAATATCACCTAATATTAATAATGTTGAACTTATCTAAAAATATGTGCAATGCTTAATGTTAATTTAAATATTTGTTATAAATGTTTTAGAAATATTTATTGACACTAACATTTTATCTAATATTTTCATATACATCTTAGATATATCAACATCAACCACATCAAAATCCTATAATCAAGAAGCGCAAAAAAAAAAATAATAATAAGGATTTTCTTAGGATTTTTATTTGTTATATTTTTGTTTTTTGGAAATAAAAAGGAAAGGTAGATACCAGCGTGGAAGTCATCAATCAACCATAGTCGGAGAGTAGTCTTTATTTTGGTAAAACCAAATCAAAATTTTTCAGATCTCTCATTTTTCTCTTCCGATCCAAGTAATCTCCTCGCTTTGTCCAACACCAGTCTCGAGCGCCGACAAAATCCTCGAACAATATCCCGATCTGAGTTTCTCTCGCCTCAAGATCCCACACTCATTCTGCTACACTTCCAACTCGCTCACTACCATTCTCATTCTGATTCTGATTCTGGTTTCCATTGATGTTATGATATGCTTTTCAAACTCCGAAGCTAGGGTTTCTTTCCGCCATGGAATCCTCTCGAACTCCCAGCTGGCGGGAGGGCATGTCCTCTGATAACATTAAGGGCTTGGTTCTTGCTCTTTCCTCCAGTTTCTTTATTGGTGCTAGCTTCATTGTTAAAAAAAAGGGCTTGAAGAAAGCTGGGGCTTCCGGAGTCAGAGCAGGTACCTTACCTTACTCTCTTGTTGTTTGCTTCTTCAATTGGGCAAAAAAAGGTTAATGCGGTTCTGGGTTTTCTGAGTTTTTTACTCCTGGATGAATGTTTGAGAAAAAAATTTGTCATTGGGTATGAAATATTTGACGCAATTAGAGGTGGGTCGTGCTATTAATGGGGTTCTCAACGATTTTTATTGATTTGAATTGTAATTTTGATCCTATTATATGTTATATTATATCCGTTAGTTAATCAATTATAGCATCTGCTTATTTGGAGGCCTATTGTAATAAAAAGGTTTAATTTGTGGTAAGTCATTGAATTGAGGAATGTAAAGAATTTTGCTTCTTGTGCTCACTGTTTATGAGTAATTTTCTCTGTACTCTGCTCAGACACATTCTTGGCCTTGAGGACTGTTTATTTTACTCCTCATATCAGACTGCATACTGAAAATGCCGTACATTTAACAACAGATAGATGCATTTTTAACTATTATTGGTTCCTTGACAGATGAGTAGCCCCGTAAGTCTAACTCCTTTCACAGGCCTTGAATTGAGCTAGTTGTGATTAACTTAATTCAGCATCATTTTAATTTTGTCAACGTTAATTACTACCATGTTGAACCTTCAAGGGGTTTGTCTAGTGACTGATTGTCTCTTCTGATTAAAAAGAGATCTTGGGTTGTGGGCTGCAGCCTGTCATAAGGGTGGAGGCTACACATACTCAACGAGAGTTTTGTAATTATATTTGATGGATGCAAATCTATACTTTTTGGGAGTCCCTTTTGTAATTATATTTGAATTGAGCTAGAGTTTTGTAATTATCTCCCTTTCATTTTCTTAATAAAGTTTTGTTTCCTATCAGGGAAAAAAATCTATTCTTTTCTATGAAGGTCTTCTGCCTTTGAAGCTGATGATTAATGTTTGCCTTATCTTTATCATGATTTATGAGAAAGTAACTGTCATGTAGCAGAGTTTTACTGTAATTGATTTGATGATTCATTCCAGGAGTTGGCGGTTATTCTTACTTATATGAGCCTCTTTGGTGGGTGGGCATGATTACAAGTAAGTCTTATTTTTTTTCCTCATAATGTAGCATATAATAAAGGCCTTTACTATTCTTCCCAGCAAGACTTGACAAATTTCTGTTCAAATTTTTTACTTATTCTTTCAGATACTAAATGAAACTTTATGATACATTAGCTCTTTCAGATCTCTATATATAATTCAATTTTTTGTTAATATTATGATACAGTGTGCTGCATTTTTAAAAAACATGTAACCACTGAATAGAATAAGTTGAATATATTTGTAAGATATCCCACCAAACAGAGGTTTCTGAATTTATTTGTAAGATTTTTTATCAGCCCTTGAGACCAGGCCCCTTGGCCGTTTCTTTTAATAGATGTTCCTCTACTATGGCATCAACTGAATATGTTTTGTAAGGAATCAAGTGATTAGGTATTCGGCTTCTCTCTCTATTTAATTCATTTAGTTTTAATAAATTTACAGCAAAGGAGAAAATTATTTTCATTTTTTCAAATCATAATGGAAAACAAGGACATAGTGGCTTTCGTTGCTCCCTTAAAAGTTAAAAGTGGACTTAGAGATCAATATGTAAACTCTGTAAAATTATTATCGTTTGAGGACTCTTTATTATTGGAAAGCATATAATCTATTTGAATTGGAAGATGTATAATGGAAGGAAAAAGGAAGAAGAAAGGGGAAATCCTAACATGGCAGTTATTATTTCAACAGTGATTGTTGGAGAAATTGCTAATTTTGCGGCTTATGCATTTGCTCCAGCAATACTGGTCACCCCACTTGGTGCTCTCAGCATAATTATTAGGTATGGTCTGAAGTTGCACAGATTAAGTTAGAGCTTATGGTTGCTTATGCTCATATTATCATGGTATCTTGCAGTGCAGCGCTTGCACATATTATATTGCGGGAGAGGTTGCATATTTTTGGAATTCTTGGCTGCGTTCTTTGTGTAGTGGGTTCCACAGCCATTGTTCTCCATGCTCCTCAAGAACGTGAAATTGAATCTGTAACTGAAGTATGGCAAATGGCCATGGAACCAGGTAAGTTTTTGTTACCGTGAAATATCATCCCTCTCTTTCAGATATCATAGATTCTTCTTAGATTTTGGCTGTTATACTTTGTTTTGTTTTTTTCTTCTTCTTTTATTATTATTATTATTTTAGATGAGAAGCAAATCAATTTCATTGTAGTTTGGGATGGGGATTCCACCACTAATGATGCTAGTGAAGAGACTTATTGATGAAGAAGAACTCTAATTGTGTGTGATATGGGTGTGCTTTTTTTCTTTTGGGTGGGGGGTAAGTAAAGAACTCTTGATTCTCAAAATTATAAATTTTTTTCTGTTGGAGAAGATGCAAGTGGAAAAACAATCCAGCAACAAGATTCATTTAACAGTTCGTTGTAGATTTCTTCTAGGAGTACCACCTAAGAGAGAATGAGAACCCAGTAGCTAGTCATCTACGTATCTGTGTCAATGCACAACTCAAGTAATCTAGGATAAACAAGGTTATGAGACTGGAAACCCTTTCTCAGAGGCCCTCCCAAAGCCTAGTGGAGCAACCATTTCCAAACATGAGCCTAGAATCTCATGAACAATGTCCTTCGGTAATCTTTTCAACAAAATCTTTTTTCCATATTATTATTTACTAGAGAGACAAAAGAAACTCACAACCTATCCTCCCAGAGATTTTAAATGAAGCAATTTGGAGGTTCAAGATTCCTAATAAGCTTAATCTTTTGCTTGGAGTTTGGCTTTTGAAGGTATGAATGCAACAGAAGTAGTTCATAAACAAAACGTCATATACACCTGAACTCTAGCATAAGCAGTCTGTGTGAGGAAGCAGAGGAAAACTGTTGGCGCCTCTTTTTGAATTACGAGTATAGCTAGAAGTTTTGGAACTGCTTATTATAAGAATTTAGTCTTTCTCACTTCTATTTTATTGTGGAGACAGCAAGAAAGGCTAAAATTCATTTAATCAGTAATTTCAAAGCTTCTATCTAGTTTATTTCATATTCATTTGCTCTATGAAAGTGTGGTTTTTTCATCTAAAAAGGAAAAATGTTTACTTCATCTTTTCAGTAGTCCCTTCTCAAATTCGAAAGTTCACTCTATATGGTAACTCAGTCAGGAGCACAACTTCAATCCTTGCTTGCCATATCTGTATCTTGGTTCTCTAAATGCTTAACATTGTTCATGATCTCTTATGTTTGTATCCTATATATAATTCTTATGTTTTTAGCAGTCATTTATTTGGTTTTAATAACATATTGGTAGTAACTCTACCTTTGTCCTTTTATTTGGCAGCCTTTCTATTGTATGCAGCATTAGTTATGACAGCTGTGTTTATACTTATATTCCACTTTATACCGCAATATGGCCAGACTCACATTATGGTCTACATTGGTGTATGTTCCCTTGTAGGATCTTTGTCGGTATGTATCTTTGTAATTTTTAAATGGTTTCTACTCCAATTTTTAGTTTTTAATTTTTTTTCCCTTCTTCTGATTTGATTATGTAATTGGATATCTAATAACAGGTCATGAGTGTCAAAGCAATAGGAATTGCCTTGAAGCTAACGCTATCAGGCATGAACCAGCTAATATATCCTCAAACCTGGATATTTACTGTCGTTGTGATTACTTGTGTGCTTACCCAAATGAATTATTTAAACAAGGTTAGTAGTGCTCATTTATGGTTTTTGATTTCTATAAACACTTTTAGCATTTCATTTGGCATCCCTGTATCCTTACATTGTTTGATATTTATTGTCCATATGATTAATAATTTAATCTCGGGAGTTTTTTCCTTAAAATAGAAATTGGAATAAAAAACTATCACTATCTTAGGAAGCTATGTTTATGTGGGTTACTAGCTCTTTTCGTTTTTTCTTTTTCGGTGTGTGAAGGCTGAAGCAAACCAAGGGGAAGCTATAAAGCAAAAGAACCAAAACAAACTGCATGGTCCGAATTGTCAGTGATCAAGAGAAAAGGGACCTTAAGTGATTGATGACTTCAGCAAATTCATCCATGGATAATGGATTGAAGGGCATGGACCTTAAAGTGATTCATGAGAGTTCTCAGCCAAATCTCTTTGGTAGCTATCATAAAACATTCCCAAAGAAATCACCAAGATCAATTGAAACAAAACAGTTCAACAGCGGACCTTAATTTTTGGAAGGTTCAATATTGAGGAGATGACTATGGTAGTGATGCACGTTGTGCTACCAAGATGAAGAAAATTAGGGTCTCCACTTTTTTCAATGTAGGTTCAGTTCTTCCGGCTAGTTGTGCTATTTCATGGGTTTGGAATGACGTGGGTTGTTCACAGTAATATGAAGGGATTGGTGCAGGGTTGGTGTCTCTGATGTTCTGGTTCAAGGAATTCTGTCTCGTTTGATCTATTCATTGTAAAGCGCATTTCACTTCCTCCACCACCTTTTTCCATTTTGTGCTTTTTGTTTGTTCTTGCCCTTCTTTTCTTTTTCCATGTTATTGGGTTTTTGTACTTCCTTTCATCTTAATAGAAGATGTGTCTCAATAATTGAGAAATACTTGTGGAAAGGAGATCTGGAGCCGAGAGTGCCCCAAAAAAAAAGACCACCAACTTCATTTGATCTATATGCTGGAAACTGGACCAGGAGTCCACACGAATGAAATAGTGCACAAATTTCATCCAAACATCATAAGTTCCCCTAACTAGTGCATCCTTTGTATAAGTGAGAGTGAAACTTTAGATCACTTATTCTCTAAATGTGATTGTCTTGAATTGGTGGGTGAACATCTTTGGAATTCTATGGTGCTTCCCATGCATTGTCAAATAGACTCTCATTCAGACTTTGTGCGGGACTCCTTTCTAAGGAAAAAATAAAATTCATTGGAACAACATGATCAAGATCTTTATTTGGGAAATTTGGCTTTGAAGAAATAGAAATATTTTTCAATATGGTTGTGTGGATAACTTTCTATTTTGGGAAGGGCAATTGGCCTAGCTTTGAAATGGATATCTGTTTGTAAATCTTTTTGTTATTAATCTTTATTAGATGTTGTTGCCAATGGGAGAGCATTTGTGTAAGCCGCCTTGGCGTGCTTAAGGATACCTTATCCTCTCCTTTTAGGAATCCTTCACTCCCAATGAAATGTGTTTCTTTGTTCAAAAAAGCAATTGGAAAAGAAAAAACCATAATGTGAAATAAATCTTCATGCAACCCCTTCGTGGTCACTGATTTAGAAAGCAAACCATTGAAGATTTACTCTGGGAGTCATGGCCAGAGCCAGAGTGGAACAATAGAATTCTTTTTTTCAAGTTAGTCTTGTGTCAAAAGTTTATTCTCATATCTTTTTGTCCATAACTATGAGATATGGTTAATGGAAATCAAAGATTGCATTTTCAAGGTTGCATCCTAAAGCTTGTAATTGTAACGATATAGTTGTCAAATGAAATTAATAAATTATCATATAAGCTAAAAGGAGTTGTATATACTCTCCATGATTGGATGTGTTGGTGCGACTGATAGTTAGTATATTCTGCTGTTCTCAATAGGACTTTTTATCCTATTTTCATTGTATGTTTTTCTCATGTATGTATATCCTATATTCTTATCAAAGATGCAACTTTTTTGGAGGATCTCATATGGCCAATTTATTTCTGCCTTCTTTGTTTGCAGGCACTTGACACGTTTAATACAGCTGTTGTGTCACCAATATACTACGTTATGTTCACTTCGTTTACCATCTTGGCGAGTGTGATAATGTTTAAGGTATGTCCAGAGTGCTGATTGTGGTTTCTTTACATGTATAATATGATCAAACATATTGTTTTGTTTACGTAGCATACTACACTATGGATAATATGGATGAGGAGTGTTTAGAGTTTTGCATATTTGAATATCCTTTCTTGCTGTTAACCACTATGGGTTGGTTAGTAGTCATTTGAACAAAAATGATCACTTGCCTAGGATTTAATATCCTACGAGTTTGTTTGGTAACTTAATGGTTCATACCTTCTTTTGCTGTTATCTGGTTCTGTGAGTTATGCTGTTTTCTGTCGAAGTTCGATGATCCCTGGAAGTCATGGTGCATTATTATGTTCTAGCTAGTGGTGTCAGACCACTCTTTGTATTAAAACAGATCTCTCCCTCCCTTGGATAAGATACGGATTTCATTACCTAAAACACAGGCGAAGGCCAGCAAAGACTCGAAGAGGAATTACAAGGAACTCAAACTAAGAATCAAAAACAAAGGAGCATCGCAGAATAATTTGGACTCAGAAGCCTTGCTATAATATGGCACTTCAAGCTTGTTCGTACATTAGTGACAGCATAGAACATTAGAACTGTTATCCTTCCGCAGCTTAGATTTTTGCCTGCACATATTTAAATGGAGGTACATTTCAATATCTTTTGAATTACTTCTTGCAGGATTGGGACAGGCAGAGCCCAACGCAGGTTGTGACAGAGTTATGTGGATTTGTGACCATTCTTTCAGGAACTTTTCTTCTTCATAAAACGAAGGACATGGCTGATGGTAATGCCTCCCCTTCTCTTTCTTAGGAAACATAGTCTTCAATTTATATTTCATAAGCAAACCAATATAATGGACATATTATTAATTTATGCTGTCATTGTCAATTTTGTTCGATTCTTTTTTTTTTATTTTGTGGTGTAGGCTTTGTTTATTTCAGGCCTAGGTAGACACTTTATACCCTCCCCATTCTTCTTCTCTTCTCTTTTTTTTTTTGGTTGGGTATTGAGAGCCTCGTTTAATGGCCCACCCCCACTCATTCCTAGAGTGGCTTTGTCTACTCCAACTCGAGGAGACAATAAGAGTATTGATTATTACGTACAATTTGATAATCATTTCGTGTTTAGTTTAGTTTTTTAAAACTAGGTTAGTTTTGCTCACAACATTTTCTTTGGTATGTTTCCACCTTTCTAGAAAACTCATTTAAACTCCTGGCCAAATTCCAAAAATAAAAACAAGTTTTTTAAAGTACTGTTTATAAGTTTAATTTTTTTTCAAAAACAGAAAACAAAAAATAAAATGATTATCTAAATGGTTATCAAACGGGGCTCCAGATATATATCTGGAGACCTTGTATTTCCAAACGTCTCTAAGTCCTTACCACAAGCACCCTTGGGATCTCCATATCCTGGGCTGTTATTCTGCAATACCATGTTTCATGTAAATAGAAAAAAGAAACTGCAATTATCCGTAAATTGATGTTTGTTAAATGTGTTTTTTCACAAGTGTTGAATCTTGTCCATAACTTTCCAAACTGATACATACAGGTTCAGGAGGAAGCATATCGACGCGGCTCTCTAAGCATGCCGAAGAGGATGGTTTTAATGGTGCGGAGGGCATTCCTCTCAGACGGCAAGAATCCTCGAGGTTGCCTTGATCGATACCTTAAAAGTACGGTTCAGTTCGAGCAACTTGTATTCTATCACATGTTTCTACCCCCTTGATGTTCCTTTTTGGATAGAAAGTAGACAGAAGGGTGAGAATTTTCTATCACTTTCCATTCTCTCTCCCGAAACTTGACAATGGGGGTAATGCGAATGCCTATTGCCTTTGTACACAAGTTCATGCCACCCCACCAAATCCATATGAAAGATGCAATCCAACAGAATTCTTTTTCATCAATTGGTAATACGTATTGCTTCTCCCTCCACAGAACTCACTCGGTCTCGGTCTCTTAAACGCATGTATAAAGCTTTTCTTAGTCTTCATTCCTAGTCCGTTCGTTCGACCATTTCATTCTCGATGTTACGAAACAACCTTGTTTTTCTGATACATTAGTGTCATAAAATGCAAGTTCGTGATGTTATATTAGAAGCATGTAGCACTTTTTGAGGAGAGGGGTCTGACAAGTTCAATCTAGTTTCAGCAATGGTTTGAAAAGTGTTCAAGGTGATTGAAATTTCCTCCATGTCTAAGCTTTGGTACTTCTAGTTCCAACTTCTAAGACATGATTTTTCATTTTTTTTTAAAAGAAAGTATACATGCAGATGTACAAAATTCTCTTTATACTCCTGGCCTGATTCTTTACTTAAAATTCATTTACAAACCCTCTAACTTCAATTCGAGTTCAATTGATTCTTTAAGTAATACTGACGTTCCAAAATCAGAAAGAAGCTTAAATGTCAACCTGTATCATGGTTCAACCTTGTACAAAGAATTGAAATATCTAACCATCAAAGGATGAACATAAAGCTTTATTGCAAGTTGATGGAATTGTAAACAGTAGACAGCTTTATTAGCTCTTGATAGATCCATAAAAGATTTTGGTTCCTTTGATTTCATCTCTTCCTTCCCCACTATTTTGCAAAACTTGCCATCGGTTCAGCTTTTCCCATAGCGTCGTGCCATCTCATAAACTGTTGGCTCTGAGTTGAAAAAAAAAAGCCAACACCTAATGTGGCGTGTTACTTCTACATCTGCCTTGTGTTGAATCAAGATTTCTGACCTTTCGGCTTTGGCATTTGCTTTAGAAGGTCAGATACAGAAGCACAATGTGTTGACTTGTAATCGCAATTCTCACAGCAATACTGCAATAGTTGAATGACCTTGACGCACCTACAACCATGTCAAATGCGCACACAGATCAGGAACAGATCATAAAAGCCTTCCCCTTGACACAAACAAAGAGAGAAACAAGCGTCATTAATATCTAAGACGATATTTGTTCGCCCAAATCTAAGAAACATGGACAGACTTGGTCATAATGACGAGCCGTTTCCAAAAAGTTAAAACGTAAACAAGAATATGTTTATCAATAGAAGAAAAAAAACAATAAAATTCTCCCAGATCTCTTCCTCCAAAGAAAGTATCAATAAGTATCAATTTTCAACATTACAAACCATGTAATATAGTAGGGTGGTGAAAGGAAGAAGCCGAAGCCGAAGCCGTGGGTGGGGTCTATATCCAGTGTAAACCAACATGTTTGTTGAACACCATTTTTCTCCACCAGGAGGATGGAATAAACTTAGATTTTTGGGAGGTTTGATGGATGGACAACTACAACCTAGCTCCTGATCACTGTCGCTAGGAGAAGTTGGGGAAAGCTTTATGCTAGATCTGATCTGATAATACCCCTTGAGATGAAGGATTTTCTGTTGAAGTTGTTTACAGTCCCAGATTGAATCTCAAAGCCAGGGTTTTCTTTTTTTTTTACCTACTTCATTATTAACTACCATCGGGGAAATGAAATACAAGTGTTCCTAAAAGCAAATGAATAAACCTGATATGAAATCTTTTTTTGTCATTAAATTTAAGATTTAAACAACATTTCTCCTGAATTAAGTCAGCAAGTAAGTTTTCCAAGAATCACATCATTTGGCATTGTACTAAAATCAAAATCCAACTTCTTACTGATCAGATGACAATGATAGAACTAAAACAGAAACCTTATGTACACAGCATAAAAAACAGACTTCAACATCCACTGGACATAAAACCTGTCAAATGTATGATGATCAACACCAGTAAGCAATAACCAGCGAACTTCAAAATTTTGAACTAAAACATAGTTCACACAAAAAATCTGTTGATCGATTATATATATTTTTATCAACCTTCCATCACAAATGTGCTAAATTTATACCTCTAGTCAGAACATGCCAAACATAAGACAACCATAAAAAGAAGTAAAATAAGAAAAATGGAGGAATGAAGGAGAAGGTTTGCAGGCCCATATTCCACATGCACAGACTAAACTATCATTGACAAGAGAGAAAGTAAAAGAAGTAGAACTTGAAAACTGTTTGAGTTCTCTACTTATGGGTCTGGCTATGCTTTACTTTCTCTGCTACAAAGGAGACTCAACCTAACAATCATGTCTCTGTTTTCACAACCTCATCAAACAGAGTTCGATTGTGAGCTCACATCGACCAAATCAGACTTCATTAAGAAGTATGATCTTCAGTATATTCCCACTTCCCTGGCAGGAATAAAGGAAAATCAGACAAACTAATCGCTCTGGAACCCGAATAAACAACAAGAGGAAGAAGGAAATATGGAGGTTTGATGATCTTTAAGAACTAATGCAGGGGGCTAAAATTTCAGAGTAGAATATGTACAGACTGGATGAGAATTAAATAGTTCGTAAGCAACCAAAACCTCAATGAAAAGCTTTCTTCGATTTTACCTCTTTGTGAAAATGAATCAATGTCTCAGATTGATCTTCAGTTCAATTAAATCTAGGAACTATTGACGCACAACATTTTATATAGGAATCACGTGCTTTATTATCATGAAAACATCAATCGGGACTAAGAAACCTATTAAATAGAAAAAGAAAAAGATTGATATCACTTTAAAACGCGGAAGATAAAGCGATACCAGATTAGAAGTACATGGAAACACACCTCAACTTCCACGAATTAAACAAAAATAGTTCAAATCAACACGAAGAATCATACAAATTTCTTACGCAAAGATACAGATACCTCCGCAAGGTTTCCGAAAATTTTCCTACAATACTGGTCCAAGCACGTCAGTCAATGAACCAAACACAGAGAAAAACATAAGCCAAACATTCGATCGCATAGAGGAATCAAATTGAAAAACTTTGCTGTTTTCTTACTTAATCTATTTTTTGTTTGATCCCACAGCGAAGGGAGGCAATTCAAAGGAAAGAATTCCATTAAGAGATACAAGAGAACAATTTTTCTTCGAGTTCAATCCTTCTAGCCCTCCGATTCATGCAAAAGACTCCAACGAACATCAATAAACAGTGTGAAAACTTCAGATTATTTTGCCGCAGATTGTTCTGGAAACAAACCCAACAGAAAAATCGCAGATCATAGCTTACTTGTGAGGAAGAAAGTTATTTTTGGAGAGACAAGCTTGAATGTCGCAGGCCTCCTTCTTGCAGGGTTCTTTGCTCGGCTGAGGCATCTCTCAGCTCTCTTTCTCCAATTCCAATCTCTATTGTAGCCTAGTTTTTTTAAAAAAAAAAATTGACTTCCTTTGCCAAGAAAAAAAAAAAAAATATATATATATATATATTAATTAAATTAAATTGTAATATGGAAATTACTTTCGTCTTTAACTTTACCCGTGATTTATTTTGTTCCGATCACCTTTGAATATTTGACAATTAAGAGAGCTATGTAAAAACAAATGGTCAACTTTTAATGGTAACAAGATAGAGTGGGATCATTAGGAGTTAAGTATTTTCCTTATAATATTTCAGAAAAAAATTTAATTGTCAATCTAAGTATAATCATACATCATCGATTATGATAAAAGCTATGGGTTTGAAGGAGGTGGTGGTGTCTTGAATCCATCTGGTCCGAGTAATGGCCTCCTGATTTTTTATTTTATGTTTACCTGGTGTTGTGTTGTGTTTCGTATGTTTCAAAAGAAAAAAAAATATATATATATATATATATTATCGACCAAATTATTATATATAAATTAAAATTGTCATATTTATAAAAAAAAAATTTGTGTGACATTTACAGATATGACAAAACGTGGTAAAATTACTTATGGACAATCAAATTAGATAACTTAATTTGATTACTTAACTAGCTAAGTGCCACGTATCCAATTAGACCAAATTTATCAAATGGGATGTAATTGAACTAGATCAAAATATCTTATTGATTGGAAGCCGTCAAATAGGTCATAGTCTACACAAGTAATAAAAAATTCAACAAAGTGGATCATAATTTAACTCGGTGATTCAGCTACTAGATAGACTAGTTACACCTACATAAGATGAGAAGCCACCTAATCTAAGTGGATCGCAACTCGATCAAGTGAGACCAAATAGCTCGACTAGTTAAAATATAAGATCGGTATCATGTACGTTGCATGTCACTAAGTGAAGAAAACTAGTTCACACTCGAAACAAGCATGAGGCTTGAAGTAACATTAGAAGTCTATTGTCACAAGACCTACCATGTATCATGTGTTGTCATATTCTACCCCTAAAACATCTTCAAGTTATCATGCATGGTAGCAACGACACTACAACCACTCGTAGTGCATACAAATAAGAGCTAAAGGTACAATTTGATGGGTGGGATATGTTGGTATGAATAGATCTAATTATTTGTAGCGTACACATCTCTTATGTACATGAGAATGAAGAAGAATTGAAGTTACGCTCTTTCTTGTACCAAAATTCTATCCTTGTCAAAATTTGAACTTACTTAAATATCAAGTATTCTATTTAGAAAATACGATATCAGTGCTCACTTTCTATCTTTGTTGATAACTTTCAAAAATCATACAACAACACCGCTAAGATCAATAGTTGATAACTTTTTTTACCTTTGTTCTCCTTTATTTAAGACGATGTATTCCTAAGAAAGGAAAATCAATGACGAAAAAATAAAGAAAATCTCATACCAAAACTATTTTGTGAAATAAATAAACATTGTTAATATTAATATTATGTTCATATTTACGATATTTTGTTGATACATTTTCAAGATTTTTTTTATGATACGGTAGAAATATCAATCTAAATATCAAAAATTTAATGTCCGGCTCAAAATGACAAAAGGGATTCAAAGGAAGAGAAAAAAAAACAGAAAAAAAGGAATTAAGGAAGCAAAACGGAAGGCAGATGGTATGGATCACTGACCGTGTGAGCTTTGAATTTGTGCAGATTCACTACAAACAGACGCATTGTGAATCTGTGCCCTCAATTTCCAATTTTGGCCAATTCCATTATTCCCCAATTAATTTTCTCTTCTGTTTTCAACATTCCCAAATCAAATCCCAGTAGAGAGAGAGAGAGAGAAAATCCGCGAGCGAGAAAATGCATACATACATTCAACATTCCCATGCATTCAGTCCCCATTATGCATTTTGCGTTTTCTTCCCATTCCCCCTTCTCTTTCTGCCCTTTTGGCTGCCCCTTTTACTGTCACAAACTTTCCATATTCGAATCGCAGAATCGTCGATTCGCTAGTCGCCTCCATTTGCGAGATTTCCCAAACAGAGGTAACGTAACGCCCAAGTTTATGCGAAATCCGCCGCTGCCCTGATTTGGGGTTTTGAGCATCTTGTGTTTGGGCAATGGAGAATAATCGGCTATTTTTGGGCTTTGTTTTGATCTTCTTCTCTCTCGCCTGCTGTTTCTCGCCCTCCTGTAAGTTTATATTCCTCTCTCTCTGTATGTGGCTTTTGCATTCTGTTTCTTCTGAAGAGAAAGTCCTCTTGTGGGAAATTGGAGAAATTTAATACGAAGGTTAGATTGATGCAGATGGATATGATTCATTGGATCCTCATGCCAACATTACTATCACATGGGATTTCTTGGTGGAAAATGGGGATACTTATGATGTATGTATAACTGTTCTATTCTTGATTTTTCTTGTAAACTTTTAGTTTTTTCTGACTACTAAATGTTAAATGTTATAAGTTTCCTGACTACTAAATAAAAGAAAGTTAGTGATGTTGAATTAGATTAACATTATTTCCAAGGGATTCTTATATTAGAACATTTCATTCTAATACTAAAGTGTGGTAATGTATTAATATAATTATATTATTGGACTATTTAATGGATTGAGTAGATTTATATATTTTTATTGAATATATATATATATATATGGACAAATATCCAACAATTCTTATTGGACTTAACGGAGTACTTAACGGAGATTCAAGAACGGGTATATAGATGATATGAACTCAATATACTAAACATATTTAGTCTCTTATTCCCTATCCAACAAAGAGGTCATTAGTTTTTACTTCGTCCACCGTAGAGTTGCATTATTTTGAAGAGTCATGACACATCGTTTCTCTTTATTCTTGATTTTATTGGGATTTTAACTTTAATTTAAAACATATAGCTTTCAAGCTCACTTTCTAAAAAATCTAAAGGATTTTCGTTTCGTTGTTTCCTAACCTCTTGTACTTATTGAAATAAGGAAGATCTTAATAGTTATAAATTTGAAAACGTTTGGTCATTTGGGCTTAAAAGAATTATTTTAATGGGTTCTTCTAATTCTTGCGTGATTTCTCCTGGATTTTGCTATTTATTAGCATGGTGTCACGACAGTTCTCACGTTACCCCACATAAATAAATTCATTCAACTGTTGAATTTTATGGGAACACATTTGACAATTTACATACAAGGAATATGATAACATAAATGACTGGAACACCACCTCATTTCGGTTCAAAATCAACTCGTTTTGTTAAATTTTGCAGGTGAGGGTTTCAATATACAATTTCCAATTGTTTCGCCATGTGGAGCTGCCTGGTTGGAAACTTGGCTGGTCATGGAAAGGTGATGAGGTTATATGGGGTATGTGGGGGGCAGAGGCTACACAGCAAGGAAATTGCTCCAAATACATAGGCAGAGAACTTCCTCATTGTTGTGAGAAGGAGCCTGTGATTGTTGATCTTATGCCTGGAGCTCCTTATAAGTTGCAGGTGGCCAATTGTTGTAGAGGAGGTGTGCTATCCTCCATGAAACAAGACCCTACCAACTATGGAGCTGCCTTCCAAATGAATGTTGGGAAGTCTGCTGGAAAAGATGTAGATGGCAAAATGCCTGAAAATTTCACTATGGGGCTTCCTGGATACACTTGTGGTGACCCATTTCAAGTCTCCCCAACCAAATTCAGTAAGGATGGCGGTCGTCGGTGGACACAAGTTCTAGGTAATTACTCGAGATAGCTACACAAAAATTTGTTCTTTTATGCCTCAGTTTGATAAAGAATCAGGTTTGTTTACTCCTAGTTTCTTTGTCTTATTTTTCATTTTTCTAAGAATGCTTTTGAATTCAAAGCAATTTTTTGGTTTAAAAAGCATGGTTCGGATGTTAACCATGTTAACCATGTCTTGTGGGTAGGTCTGGGAGTTGGTTAGATTTAATATCTCTCTTTGGGTCTCGAGGTCCGAGGCTTTTTTATTATCAGTTACGTGTCATTCTTTTGAATCGGGATCCATTCTTATAGGCAGATCCCTTTTATCGGGCTTGTTCTTTTATGCCCTTTTGTTTTTCTCTCCATGAAAACTTAGTTTCTCATTAAAAAAAAATGGTTTGGTTGTTGACAATAGACAAGATGGGTATACAACTTATCTTGCTGGCATGGGTTTCTAAGTTAAACAAGCATGTACTTGAGAAGATATGAGAGAATGGAGAAATCTTTTCTTCAAGATCACTTTTAGAACCAACGGTACACTGAGTTAAGTGTGTAAATCTCTGCTGCTTCTGACAAAATCATGGTTGGGATTAAAGCAGCTTAAATATTCTAGGTTAGTCCTCAAATCTTTACATTGTTTCTGATTGTAGAAACATGGAATGTGACCTGCGTTTACTCCCAATTTCGATCGTCACCAGCACCGGGTTGCTGTGTTTCACTGTCTTCCTTCTACAACAGCACCATTGTTCCTTGCCCTCAGTGCAGTTGTGGTTGCCAAGGGCTAGCGGGAACAAAATGTGTCAAGTAATCTTCCACACTTTGCCTCCCTACCATTTTAAGTCTAGGAATATAGTTATTTTTTTGTTTAACAAGTGAAATCTTCTACTGCAGGCCAGGCGAAACTCCTTCAGTTTTGCAACTTCCACATGAACATCACACTTCAGAAGTAGAACCATTGGTGAGGTGTTCACAACACATGTGCCCAATAAGGGTACATTGGCATGTGAAACAGAGTTATACACAGTATTGGAGAGTAAAGATCACAATCACAAATCTAAATTTTGCTAAGAATTACTCTCAATGGAACTTAGTAGTGATGCATCCCAACTTGAGAAATGTGACTCAGGTTTTCAGCTTCAACTACAGCCCCCTCAATCAGTATGGTAACATCAGTAAGTTCCACCACTCTCCATTTGATCTTATATGTCATATTTTTCTTTTATCAGACTTCATAGCATATTAGATTAAATAAATAGCATGTTTGGAAGTACTTTTCAATCTATTACAAGCATTTTTTAACTTATGGAAAGTTGCTCTCAAATTTTGGAAGCTGATGTACTTTTGAATCTATTAACAACATTTTTTACTAATTAAAAATTCTTTCTAAATTTTCACCCATATTTGGATGATTTTAGAAAGAGAAATCAGAACATAATGGTTAAAAATTGTATTTACCTCGAACGATATCACAAACATGTCTTATGGCTGTATCATTATTTATGAACGACAATCGTTCTCCAAAAAAGAATCTGAAAGTTCTTAGAATTTGCAGAGAATCTGAAAGTTCTTAGAATTTGCAGAGAAGTTTACTCACCACACTATTATCATTTTTACTGAGTAAACTATTGTTGTGCTTTCCCAAGATGATACAGGGATGTTTTGGGGGATACACTTCTACAATGACTTGTTACTCACATCAGGAGACACAGGGAATGTTCAATCAGAGATGCTTCTTAGAAAAGATTCAGAAATTTTCACTTTCAGGGAAGGATGGGCATTCCCAAGAAGAATTTTATTCAATGGGGATGAGTGTGTAATGCCACCTCCAGACCAATATCCAAGGCTCCCAAATAAAGCTCACAAGGCCATGGCAGCATCCTATATAGTTTTCTTATTCCTGTTGCTCTCTGTTTCGTTATAACAGGGGAGTCCAGTAGATGGCAGAGTAATTTAAGTTACAAGCAGCAAGTATAGCACAGTTTTCAGTTTTGATATGTTCTCATGAAGATATTAGCGGAGATGATAAATCTTTATCATCATTATTTTAAAACATGATTGTTCAAGCTCCGCTAGTTCTTGTTCATCAGTAATAATTATATAGCTACGCATTTTACCATTACTAGACAAACAAAGACAATCATTGTGAAATATCTATAAAAGGGTATATAATATGTCATCTAACTAAGTTCCAACTTTTTGTTGAGCTTAATATTAAAAACTTTTTATGCCTTAGACAAGCAAAGGTGCTCCTCAGTATGAGGGAGAAGCTTTAACTCCTGAATTATAAGAAAAATAAAAATATATACACATCACCTAACTCGCAATAAATAAATTAGTATACATAATTTATTATAATGTTTTTCTACTTTTAATTGGGACATGACCTCCTATCTTTATTTTACAACTTCTTAAATGCACTTTGTAATCAATTTTCCATCCACTTTTATGAAGTAGCTACCAATATTACAAACGTGAAGGGAAACTCATATTTAAGCCTCAAAATAGTTGAGTTAAATGTGGGAGAAACTTTTTGGGAGAAAGTACAGTCCAAGTCGAGTTCATCTCATAATTACAAAAAAGTAACCCACATAATTAAATTGGTCATAATTACAAAAGTAACCCACATATTCAAATCGTATATGCCAATATTTGTTCACATGATGCATCCCTAAAACTTTTCTTTTTTAGCTTAACAAGTGAATGGTGAGTGTAGAGATTCGAATCAAATTGGATGATATATATCTTACCAGTTAAATTATGATCAGATTAACCTATAAAAAGTCTTCTATAATGTACTAATAAATAATATACGAAGTAGGTGTGCCTACTACACCTTATGAATAAAATATGCTCACGCTCAAAAAGAAATTGTTCATAGAATGAGCTATGAATTCTTCGAACCTACTCATGTGCAAGTTAAAGTGGCTAACAAAAGCTAACACCAAACTAGTTCACGATAATGGTACCACAAAGAAGGGCATGTTTGATAGCCAAAATCACTCCCAAAGAAACCCAAAATGAAGCTTGTCAAGTAACATGCTATTAAAGACAAAGGTTTAATCCAACCCCACTCGAGGACCCAACTGGAAGAACATCGAAACGTATAGATCAAATTAACCATAAAAACAGTTAGTCTAAGTACATAGATAGAGAGAGAGAGAGAGAGAGAGAGAGAGAGAGAGAGAAGGGCAGGCATTCCATCAGTAAATCAGGGATTTCATTGGAAATCATATAAGTTATTTCTCACCATGATGCATTACAGGTAATGAAGAATGTCCAACAGCAAAGAAGATGTTCACACTGGGAGTGGAACTTTTTCGATGGAAACAAAAAAATGGTGCTTGTAACTGCTGTAAAATTATATAATTGATTAGACATACAGTACATACAGATATCACCTCCGGTAGGCCACACACCCTACGTAGAACAAACATTACAACGGCAATGACCACCAGGTGCATGCATATGAAGATGTTAACTCCAGAAAAGGCAGGAAAGACAGAGGCAAAGAATTAAAAAGGCAGAGAGCGAGGGACGGTACCAAGACTGGAAGAGATCAGCTTGTCTTGCACAAAGGGACGACAATTTTTGTTCACCGATTTGGTAAAATCCACCCAGGCACAACACATTTGAAGCCAAACCAGAACTCTAACTGCGCACTGGACCTGTCACCGGGTCTCGACTTGAACCAGAATCCTTTTGCTTCAAAGAAAGGTTAGCGAACTGACTGTCAAGGTCTTTGCTTGAAGTACGCCGATGATTAGAAGAAGGTCGTAGTGGTTGCGGTTGCTGCTGCTGATGATGTTGCTGCTGATGCAAGGATCTTAGCCTTCCGATCTCCCTCTCCAATACTTCCTGCTCCACTGGATATAGTTTCATCTCTTAGCTTTCTAGTATAAATAAAAGAAAAAGGGGGAATATCGTACTACTCATAATATGGCAGGCAAGAGTTCTTTCAAAACCATGGAATCGTCTACAAAGTTGCAACTCTTCTATAATGTTAATACTTGTCAAAACAATGGAAATGATATGATTAGCGCTAAAAGACTTCTAAAGTTAATACTTGATCTATAGTATGTTTTTTTAGTTAATACTTAACCTACAATATGTTTTTTTTCAAAGAAAAAAAAACCAGTAATAGAAATCCGTAAGTATACCTAGTTTGTTCAACTAATATTTCAAATCACGATGAAACTTACCAAAAATAAAAAAAATTAATATCTTTACCTAGTTTGGTCAACTAGGTTTGCATAATCTTATAAAAATATATATACAATGAAATTGAAGGTTAGACCAGTTCAACGAAACCTAAAATAAGGTTGGATACAAATATCATTCACAAAAGGGAATTACAAAAAGCTGGTGCAGACCACCCCAAAGTAGAAAAAACAGTACTAGGACTCCTTGGAGAAGCCAAAGAGTTAGCAACACGATTATCTTCTCAAGTAGACAACAAACTCTTTTTAAGAAAACAAACATAGGCCTTTATTCAAAGCTAAATGTCAATGTCAAAGAAATTGGCTGGAGGATGGTCACAAACAATGTAAGCTTACTCCCCAATCATAATTGACCCCACTGACCACCAAATAAATAGCAGCAGCTAATTCATCCTCAAAAACATAAAAAATACCCAAGGGAAAACATAAAAACCTGTAACAAAAGTCATGTAGATACAAAAGAATCCACCATATAAATGACCAGCCACATTGACGCTCGCTACCAAAATAATCAGCAAAACCTAAACTACAGAAATTATGTTTCCAAATGGGTTTAGAGAGACTCTTTGAGGCAGTCTGTAGCCAGTATCTACTGTGAGAAGGGTGGTTGTTTTATCTGTAGTCTTCAAAATTCAAAGCTCCAAGCCACTGGAAGTTTGAACTTCATTTCAAAAGCTTCGAGCTCTGTTATATCAAAAATGGGAAAATGGTTTAAATACGACTTTTAGGCATCATACCCAAACTGCAGACTTTTCTCCTCTAAAGATCATGCTTCCTAGACTTCTTAAGCTAACATGGCAACAAATATGCCTCAAGTCTTTTTTATTGAAGTGACCGCTCCAGCAACACTTGGAAGATCTTATTTTCCACGCTGCTCTTTGATAGGGGGCTAGGGAGCTTCATGTGATAAACTATTCAGCATCGCCTTCCAGAACACCAGGAAGATAACTTATCTGGAAATTAGATGAGTGGTTCAGATATCATACGTTCCTTAATAAGTCAACTCACAGAGAGAACTGGCCTCTCAAATAGCATGGAGATCCGGTGTAAAGACATCCCCAGAAGGACCAAGTTCTCTTTCTGGAATTTGGTTTCGATGGTGTATTAACACAGCAGACGTTACTCAAAGAAGAAACTTGTGATTTACAAATCTAGCCTAACTGCTGCCTTCTATGTCTTGGAAACTCAGAATCTCAAGACACTTTCTTTAATGTACTTTCACTCAAAGGTTGTGGTGGTCATTACTGGACGCCTCTATTATGCTTGGTGTGCGCCCCTTGGTTAACCACTGGCTTGAGCAGATCCTTATTTGTCATCCTTCCAAACACAAGGCCAAGGTGTTGTGGAGTTGAGCATAAAAGCCTCTTGAAAATTTGGAGGGATGCATAATTCTTCTCATGAGGACGAAGATATTCAGAATCATGTTATTTCTCAAACAATCCCTATATAGTTATTTACCATGTCATGGTCTTCATATTTTAATTTGTTTTGATAATATCTCAAGATTAGCCTCTACATTAGTTAAGAGATGCACATGACACAAAGGCATTACCGCTGAAGTGGCACTATGTGGTTACTGGCATGGTACCACATGGATGTTGACATTACAAGAGATGGACATACAAATACTTTTACAAATGGACCTTGCATGTCTCAACCTCTTGCTGATGTTAGCATCCATTTGGCACCATGTCAACTTACTAATGATGTGGCATCATCCGTCTATTAATTCCACTAACAGACTAATTATGAGATATTATTATCATAGTACCCAGATTAAAATGAAACAGTCCAAATTATGAGGATCAAAGTGTCATATAAATGGTAATGTATAGGAACTAAATATATAATTTTTACAACTCAAGGATGGAGTAGCACAACATATCCTGTTTGAGTAAGGTCGTAACTAAATATATAATTTTTAATTATAATTATTTTTTTCTATTAAATCCCATTGAAGGAGTTTTTTTTTTTTTCTTTGGGCTTGGGTTGATTCCTAAAAACCCATCTTTTGTGTTATCTGTTTCTCATCAAACAGAATTCCTTGCTCTGTTTCCTTATTGAGAGAGAGAGAGAGAGAGCTACAACAATCATCCTCCAGGAAAGAATACCCATGCCTAATCCATTTCTAGCCTACGATAATTTCCTCAAAGAGTTCAACGAAGTAATGGCATGAAGTTCTTTTGCAGATAAACTCCACAGTTAATTAGCAAGTAAATGGGCCCAAATATATCATATACCAAAATGTCAGGCTGTAAATCATATCCATCTACCTATATACAAAGAAAGAGAGAGATAGCATGCAAATAATGGCTTACAGTATTTAATTAGCTGCTCCTGAGCTAAATTATCTAACCGCTGCTTGAGAGCTTTGTTCTCCATGCTAAGAATAAGATTTTGCTGGTTGAGAAATTCAAGCTCAGCTGAGACTTCAGAGCCCTCTGCCTATGGAATAACAGAACTTGAGACGATATTTGAGCTTTTGTATCAACTATATAAACCCACTAATCTAGAATCAATACTAACCTGCAAAGCTTGTACTTTCCTTTCAAGCTCAGCTATATATTGAAGTTTTCGTACCCTTGAACGCTGAGCAAATTGCCTGCATCATTCAATTTCAAAATTAAACCAAATACAAGTTGTAGATGCACTTAACAGGATTGAGGTTATTCACTAGTAAGTAAAGGAACAACATTATCAAGTATCAATAAATCTCTCTCACTGTCAGATTAAATGTAAAAAATAAATAAATAAGAAATCATATTAAATACCCCAATGAAACGATATATAACATAATAAATATCAGGACATATGTACAAAACTTCTGTGTTTTGAAAAGCAAAAGGGGGGATAATCAGCATGAAAACAAAACGTAGAAGTAGAATCTAGGTATGGAGATCTGATATTATAATTACAAAATAAAAAGATTCATAATATAAAAAATATAGCCATAAACTCTTGTTCCTCCTTCCTACCATATAAATTAATGTCTGATAGACATTGGTTTTATGGAACACTTCACGAGATAAATAAGAATCTTCAATGAATTATAAATACCTAAAAGAATTTAAAATACAGTTACATGAGTGATAAGCTGCAAAAATCAAAGGAAGAGGAAAAATAAAGATGGACATATACTATCAAAACAAGCACTGCAGATCTAGATGATAGCCAATTTCAGTCTAGAGTATATATAAAATGCTAAAAGTAAACCATTCAATTACATAATACACATACTGTTTGGCCCGTTTATTTTCTGTATCAGACACAGATGATTTTCCATGAGCAACATCTTTTCTCTCAGAAGAGACTTTTGGATCATGTGAGCCAGACTCTGTTGGATCTTGTTTTTCACTTGCTGAAGAAGGCAAACCATCTGCTTCCTGCGGAGTGCTTAATGGTCCAGAGGTATGAATTACCATGTTCTCCCTGGGAGAGTGAAGAGCAGTGGGGTTACTCATGGTAGATAAAGATGATTCCCACACCCTATTCTTCTGTCTTGTTCCATTAGCTTCAGCATAGAATGAAGCATGCCTCGCATCTCTCTGATGATCAAATTCTTGAGATAACCAAGAGTGTCCAGGAACTGTATTTGTATATTTGAACTCTTCTTGCATGATGCTATCAAAATTAACATTAGCAGCATCTGTATATGCGAAGGAGTCACTTGAGGAACGTCGATGACCAATTCTGCGAACAGGGGTCTCCGGCTCATTGAGGAGATCATCAAGCCAAGAAGGCTGCTCCTCTATTAGAATGCTTTCCGAAGAAGTTCTTTGATGGTAGGCGTTACCATCTCTTGGTCTCTGAATAGCTTTTGCTCCAATTGCAGTATTAGGAACATATTCAGTATATGATGGAGAAACACTAGGAAAGGGACTTTTAGGAGGGAGAAGCGCATGTTTTCCAGAATTCATAAAACTTCTGACGTTGGATGACCCTTTAGAATTTGCCATGATTAGAAATACAAGAAATTCCTTTTCCTGGAACACGATAATAAATATGTCAGAAATAGATAAACATGGTTGACACTTGACAGATTAAAGTTAAGAAGCAATAAAAGGGCAGTCCAATAAACATCTGCTTACAATTAACGCTCTTTGCTGACATGCTAAATATCATGTGTTACTGATGTCTACATTTAGGCGCATGCATGTTTATATTTGCTATTTGCCCGCTAGTAAACATAGCAACTCTCTAAAACCATGAACTATGCCAGTGGCACCAAATACAAAGGACATTCGATTGCAAATCAGCCAAAAAAATGAACATCAAATAGTGAAAGAACTGTAAGCAAAACTTTATATATTTTCAGCTGAGAGCAGCTAAGAAAAAATAAGAGAAGACAGAGAAAACCCCAACCCAAACAGAAAGGATCAAATAAACACCGAAACCTTACACAACCAGACCTGCATGTAGGTCAAAAAAGAAAACCCATTTGCCCATTAGTCAACTAAAAACTAGGCAGAGAATATTGATATCGACCATTGTGTCCTCAATTAAGCAAATACATCGGGTCATTCTAAAGAATAAGAATTTAAGCCTCCAGGTTACCAACTAACGAAGAGACAAAGATGTAAAAGCCTTCCCTTCAATTCCCTCCCACATTTTCTCAGCAGCCATAATAAAACCCGAATGATGCATTAAAAATTCAAACGTATTGATAAACGATTTCAGAGATGAGAACAAATCAAGAAGCCGAACAAACAAACAAAAAAACTGAGATTTGAAGGATGGACGAGAAAACCAGCGTATAAATGGCATAAAATCAAAACAAATTAAATAAAATGCAAGCGGAAAAATGGGAAATAATTCCTCTGTTTTCAAGGAACAGAAGGGTAACAGAAAAGACGAAAAAGATAGAGAGAGAATCAAACCTTTGTGGCGATGGAAGAACGAAGATCTTCGAAGCGTAACACGAAAAGAAAATGAAATCAAAGCGAAATGTTTTCAAAAAATTTCCTTCTGTCTAGGGTTTGTAATCCACCCCCACCTCTCAAGATTTTGAGCTCTCTCTCTCCCTCTCTCCCTCTCTCTCCCTCTCTCTCTCCCCCAAGTCTGAGACTGAAATTAAGTGGGTGCTGGTGAAGGAGGGTTTGATGAAAATTAAATTAGGCTAATAAGAAAAATAAATTAAAATAAAAAATAAATAAACTTCATCTTCTAGCCTTTGTTGTCTCTATACCTAACTCATCAAAGTTTTTGCCAAATCCATATAAATATATGCAATCATAATTATCATATATCCCATCAAGTTTTGAAGTTTTACAAAATCGGCATAGTCTAAATTCAAGTCAATTTCAAATATAATATAAAACATTTTACAATATTACAAAGAGATTAAATTTTTGGTAGGTCTCGTTATGATTTGGCAAGTTAGATAATTGGTATATATCTTCAATCAAGAAATTGTGAGTTCAATCATCCACCCCTACATGTTGGCATTTTTGGTAAGTTTTTTTTTTTTAAATACGACAAGATGGGAGTATGAGTGTTCGAACTTTTGACCTAAGAAATAGTATGTGTCGTTACGCTCATGTATTATCGTAGTATGAAATATATTAAATTCTTGGTAAGGTTGCCAATATGAGAATAACAAATTCTCTGTAAGGTTATCATCATGATTTGAACTCATTCCCTTAAAATGATTTCTATTTCATATTATTTTCATTTATTGTTTGTCAAATCAACATTGTTTAAGAATGGTGTTTTTTCTTTCTCTTTTTTCTAGAGAGAATTTTTTTTTTTTTAATATAACAAGGGATGGGGGATCCGATCATAACCTCTTGGTCAGATACATATCTCAATTACGATTGAGCTAGACTCGTGTTGGCGAAAGAATTTAAGAATAGTATTAGTCCAATAGAATAAATAATATATCGTCTAATGATATGTCAATACATTTCTTTCATAGTACTTTGAATTTTCCTCAAGGTCCTCTTTTTTCATTGCCCCAATGACTACCATTCATTCCATCTACAATCATTTTAGTTATTATCTTTTATTTTCATAAATCATTAAATAGAAATCTCTATGTGATGATCTATTTCTTTGCCTATAAGTAGATTCTATAGAATCTAGCGTATGAAGTTAGATGTAGCGAGTAGATTTCAAAACATAACAAAATTATTGTCAAATAATTAACAAAAAAATAAAAATAAAAAGTTATAAGGACGAAAACATTTTTTATGTAAAATAAAATAATATATGGAAAAGTTTATGATATTAGTATTTATCTACTTAGTCGTTAAATCTTTAAAAATTTCAATTATAATTTACCGTTTAATTATGTCCCTATTTGATTGATATGATAATGCTATCGAGAAAACATTATAGTAACATATCTAATAAATAAATTTTGATTGAATTAAGAGCTGCCTTAACCAATTTTAAACTTATTTATGAAGGGAGAAATGTTACTAAATAAATTTATTTTAAAAAAAAAATTATGAACAAATTAATTTATTGAAAAACAGAATTGCATAAAGATAATAAATAAAGATATGTGGGATAGAGATTCGAACTCACGACCTTTTGGTCGAAGATATGTGTTCTAACGAGTTGAAATTATACTCAGATTGACAAGCAGCTAGTTATCTAAAGCTCCCTCATAAACTTTAATATATTAATATACAAAACTTAAAATACACGATAAGTAGCTTGATTTTTTAAACTACTTGCAAAATATATGTTTTTGAAAAGGTAATTACAATTGACAACTTGAGCATGGTTGTTAAAGACACGTATCTCTGATTCAAAAGTCGTGAATTTAAATCTTCATCCCACATATTGCACTAAAAATGTAATTACAATTATAACATCTTTATAAAAAAAATATACAATGACAAATACAGCACAATTTTTAAAACTTATTAATCGTTTGATTAGTTTTAAATTGTAATAACAGTAATTAATATATTTCCATTTCATGTGATGGTCATTGATTTACACAAATGGATGATTAACCCTGATAGTCATATCTAGCCAAAAAAAATAATAAATAAATAAATAATAGCATTCACTAATTAACTATTGTAATCATCTTAATTACTTATTAACATATTTTCTATTATTGGTTATATTTACATTTATCTTCTTAGTTGTTATTTTTACCTTTTAATAGTTTGTCATACAAAATAGCAACTAAAATTTTAGTTAATAGACTAAAAAGTTGGCATATATATTAATCGTGATTCAAACAAGGCAACAAATCGTCTGATGAAAGAGGTCAGCTCTTCTCGTCATTGTTCTTTGAGATAGCTATGTCGTCCGTTACTTTTCAAAAAATGAATGGAAAAGTCAACTTTCTAATGTAGTCCAAGTGGCTTCTGATCCCTAATAAAAGTCTCTTTAAACGCTCAAAAACAATAATAATAATAAAGAGCTCGTCTAAATTTAAATTACTTCAATTTTAAAATAACACCAAAATCAATAGCTAAATTAATTTGTATTACCCAAAAAAACATACATAATTCTAGTAATTTACTTCAACACCATCATATTAACTTCAATTGAATGTTTACCATATGTAAATAATCACTAAAAACTTCAAAAAAAGAGAGAGATGATGAACATATTCCCTCCCTACCACAATTTCTTGTTCTCTAATGGGTTATTTTTATTTTATTTTTTTCAAATTTCCATGTGCTTTCGAAAAGAAAATTATTATTTTTTTAATAAAGGGAAAATTCTGTACGTGCAGTGCAATTCCAAAAGAAAAAATATAAAAAAAAAAATATAGGGAGATTCCATTTGCCAAGTTGCAGGAAACAACTAAACAAAGTTGGATCTCATGCTACCCATCAAACCACATTTTTTAGAGGGGCTCTTGTGGAATTTTCCAATAAGATTCCCATCTATGCTGTGATTTTTTTTCTTTCTTTTTATCCGTGATATTCAGACTAGTTACAAGTACTTAGACTAACCTTATGAGACAACTATATGACCCTACAATATTTAGTTGATAAAAAACGACCATAGATATTTTAATATCTTAGATGGGTGACCACCATTGAATTAAAATTATTTTCTCATAACTCTCGTACTTTTTCTTTCACTTGATGTGCTAGTAAAACAATTCACGGTAAGACGGACGTTTAACAAGGTTATACAAAAAGTCAATAGCTTTTTTTTTTATTGAGAAGGAATAGTGCAGGAAGGGTGTGAGACCAAGTCGAAGAGAGTAAGCCCTTAGCCTAGTAAAGTCTTTCCCAGTGATCAATGTGCCCCGTGCAGAATACACATCTGCGACTAACAAATTTTTCAAAACCAAAATGAAGAGAATTGTTACTTTACATAAATATTTGCTGAAAGTCAACGATAAGGTCCATTTTCCCACATAGTTCAACGAGATTCTCCTAAGTTATTAATGGAATTGACACAAGCATAATTACCACACACAATTGTACTTCATCAGAGGAATAAGAAGGAAACTTAAAACTTTTCTCTGAGCATCGCAATATTTATATGTAATACAATACAGAACTTTATACAAAATTTATGACAAGTATAATAAAAAGCTTAGTTGAACTAAGATTAAGATGAATATCAATGAATTGGTCCAAACATAATTCAATTAGTTAAAGTACAAATCATCAACCAAAAGGACGGAAGTTCGAATCTATGTCCCATCGTTGTTGAAGTAAAAAAAGGAGGGAAAAAAAGATGAATATTAATGAACGTTAAAAGAAAGCCAAAGATATTTTAAAATAGGATTAATTTTTAAATTTAACGAAGATCTTTAAACTTCAGGAAATCTAGTAAAGTGACCAAAATTTAATTCAGAAGTAGCATTAAGTTGAAACCAAATGATGTATTATTTTTCCATATCATTGCAGTTAGTTTGTATACACAAACTTATAACTTACACGGTTCATGAGGCTGGACTTGAAAACACAGCTTCTGGAATTCTGTATGAATGAAGCACAAACATACAAGTATTTATTTTCTTAATAAGAATCAAGAGCTCAAACATATTGAATGATGTGAAATCATGAACCAAGCAGCTTCTTCCATCTTGCATACCCTAAAATAAGCAGGAAAATCAACAAACAACCTGCTGAAGTACCTCCGACGAAGTACTCGAATATCCCGTCCTTATTGTACAGTGTACAAGGGATGTTCATACCGAACAACCCAGCAATTAAGGTTTCAACAGCTATGGCAAATGAAGCAATGGTCAGGGTCAGTTGAAACTGAATGAGTTCATTTCTCTGGTTGTCGAGTTGAATGTTGACGTAATCCTCGGTGTCATCAATGTATTCCCTGACCTGCACATACAAAAATGAGTGATACAAGTCTTAAACTCCACGCTTGAATCTGTTAACATAACCCGCCATGCTAGTCTAATCGCCTAGGGACAGAATAATTTCATAATCTCCAGCATTCGGTGTGCTTGTATTTTTAGCAGCAAGCACTTTGGTAAAGAGTGCTTAATAATAAATGAATGTTTGATTTTAAGAGTTGATTATACACTCTTAAAAGTGCTTTCGACCTGCTTCCCAATTTCAAACATTTGGGCCAAAATGCTTTTAACTTTTCTCGAAAGCATCTTTATATTATTCTCAAATTTGAGAAAGTATTTTGACCAAAAGCACTCCTAGAAGGCTAGAACTAGTCACTTCCTTGACCTTATTGTTCATCTTCAGCCACAGGGCCCATACCAATTACCATTGTAACGTGCATGCCCCTCAACCCGAACAAAACAAACTCAAAGAAAGAAGCTGTTCTTGTTCTTGCCTAAATTATGGAATTTTATCATGATATGATTAAGAAACTTATCTCTTACCGATAATATCCTGTTACGTGTACCATCCAACTGCATAAAATATGCCTCAAGCAACATTTCCAGATCCTCAACATCATTATCATCCAAATAATTGCTGGTCACCACGCTTCCACTCTTGGTGGAACTAAGTCGACGAAGATTGGGAACAATGGCAGTGGTGCTGTTGGAAGCCATGCCTCCCAGCAAAGCATCGTATTGTTGATTCTGCATCCATTTCCTTGTCAAATATAATTGTGCCATGTCTTCATTATCGTCTAACAGATGTTCTATCTCGTCCCGCACCTGCCATCATAAAAGCTATGAGCCATTTTTTCTTTTTTGGTTAAAGACAAAATTTCATTGATAATATGAAATTACAAAAGTGGCCCATAAAAGGGGTTACAGAAAGCTTTTCCCACATAAGGGATGGGCCCTTTTTTCATTGATTTTCATTTTGGATAAAAAAAAATGAGCCTTTTTTCTCTTTTCTTTGGCTTTCATTTTGGATATGATTCAAACGACATTCCATAAATCAATATACAAGTTTCGTTTTCTATTAAAAATAATAATGATGACAGAAATAAAAGAGGGAGAGAAAAGCCTTAATGCGGCTAAAAGAAGTTAAAGAAAATCCTTCCAATAAGCACATTTATCAGAGAATAGTACAAGTATAGAAAGAATGGCTCATTTTGCACCCAGCGACAACTACAAAAAGAATCCTGTAAAAAGTTGAGAGCTGTTCCTTTTCTTAATCCAAAAAATACGTAAGTTCTTTTCTTTCCAAGTGATCAAAAGGAAGCTTCTGATAAAACTGAGCAATAGGTGTCTAGTCTTTTTCTAGAAATGGTGGTAAGTCATGAGAGAGTTGAAGCCGGACTGTATGTCTTGGTTAAATGGACTAGGCCACTTGAAAGAAGAGAAAAGGAAGGTAAAAGAAAAAACTGGCAAGGTACCAATGAATGAAAATGTAATCTCAACATTCCTCATCATCGTTACAAAGGGTGCACCAGCTTGAGGGTATAGCAATGAGTCATGACAGGGTTTTTACTTCGAAGTTTATCTTCAGTGTTGCTTTCCACGACAATTTCCCAACTAGAAACCAATACACTTTTCCAGGTATTTGTCTTTCCGAACAGTTTGCATACATCAAAATCTACACGTGCAAAGCAGAGAAATCAAAATGTACATATGGTCAATACAAACAGCAACCAAAGATTCCACTAAGTAGATGATCCACCAAAGAAGAGGGGTGGGTGGGTTGGTGTTCTATACCAAGACCTTCTCATGTGTTGTGAAAGATCCATCTCAGACCTTTCATAAAAGAACATCAAATAAGGTGAGAGGTTCACTCTAAGATGATTAGCATTTTATTTTACTGATCCACAAGTAAAGAAGACATTGCCAAAGGGACAAACTGTTTTAGGACTACAGTTTAACAGAATTAGAGAGGGAACTAATGAATTCAGCCAGTGAGACAGATACAATATTCTCCAACCTTTCCAGGGGCCCAACTCTCCCAACTAGAGCTTCACTCCAGTGCAAAGAAATAAAATCGGGTTCCCTTACTCCCAAGCAAACCCTGACATTTTCACTAAATCCATAGCAACTTGACACGATATAGTCTCAAGAAAAGGACCAAAAGGCTTGGTTAGCTGAAAACGTTCCACATTCAACACTCTTTCTCATAAATGGATTTTTGTCCTGCCTGGTTCGATAGAACTTGATTTTAGTAAGCAATATGCCTTTGATCTTGGATATTACTCCTATTATCCAACACCCTGAAGCTCTATCTACTTTACAAACAAACTCAAGGAGAGCCAACGTCAATGATAAAGTCATGTACATCTTTATGAAGTTCAAAGGCTGCCTCAGCTAGCATATTTCATCCAAATTGGTCCTTATCTAACAGTTCAGCCAGGGGCCACACAACATTACTTTAGCTGGCACAAGGGGTCCACTTACACTCCCTTGTCGAGACATTTCGTGCCCTAAGAGTTCCAACTCCAACAACTAAAGCTACATTTTGACCATTTATACATTTGATTATCGTATTCATTAAGGGCTGAAATGAGGACAGAGCATTTGTTGTCCCAAGGTGAATCACTTGGAACTCATGGTGACCTTCAAGGGTGTGAAAGACAATCTTGGGCACGTCCTCAGAGCAGATCCAAATTTGATGATAACCTGACTTGAGATCCAGCTTACAAAGTGTCACCCCAGAGCTCATCTAATAGTTCATTTATCACTAGAATTGGGTATTTATCCGAGACAGCATATACATTAGATTTGGGAATATCAGAGTTGCACCTACGAGATTTTAAGAAACACAGCATTAATGCCTGATAGTAAGGAACACATTTTATAACCCGCATATCTAAGAAGCACGGACACGACAGGACACGGCGATACGTCAATTCCTAAAAACTTAGGACACGGACACGTTGGGGATATGTTTAATTTTTTTAATATTTTTTTAGGATATATATAAATTTAACACAAAAAATGCTAAATACAATAAATGCATAAATATGAAGTCAATTACATCCAATGATCCAATGTTCAACAAAAGTTACAAAAACAAAGTCCCAAATGACCAATACAGTGACAACAAAGTTCCAAAGTTCTAAAACTATCATTTCAAGTCTTCATATCATCCTTGTCAGCGTGACCATCCTCGTCAAGAATTTCARCCTCCAAATCTGGTTCATCTAAAGACAAATTTGCTACTTCAAGCATGCCAACGTCTTCAAGAGAATCAAAACTATCTCCAGCAATATCTCATGACTTAGTCTCTCCTTGGGAATATTCTGGGGTTCTTCTTGATAAGAGACGAAGATTGCTATGGATGAATACCAAATCTTCTGCACGTTTAGGCGTCATTTTATCCTCTTGACAGAGTTAACAAAAGAGTACGTGCTCCAATTTCTTTCGCACATGAGGAGGAAGAAGGTTGTCCAAGTAATTTAAAGGCAATTGCTTGAAGCATGGGTGCATAGACACCATAAGTT